CACTCAGTGACAGACATACATACATACACACTCACTGACAGACAGACACACATAGACACTCACTTACAAAACATACACTCTTACTGACAAACACACACTCACTAACAGAAACCAAACAGACTCACTAACAGACACACACAAACTAACATGCTCAGTAACAGACACACACAGTAACACACTCAATGACACACACACACACACACACTGACCCTCACTAGCAGACACACACTCAATAACAGACACATACAAACTAACACACACAGTAACACACACACACACAAACTAATACACTCACTGACACACTAGCAGACACACTCTCAATAACAGACACACACAAACACAGTAACACACACACACTGACACACAAAAATTCACACACACATATACACACACACACTCATATATTTTTTAAAAAATTGCATCCCCCAGCCTCCCTACCTTTGGGAGTGCTGAGGGTATTCCCTGGTGTCCAGTGGTGCTGCTGGGCGGCCGGTCACTGCGGGCGTGCGAAGGAGCATTCTTCCCTGAGCGCTCTCTGCCCAGCTCCCTCACGCGCCGCTTACTGATGCTGGAACCGGAATGATGTCATATTCCGGCTCCGACATCAGGGCGGTGCGAGCGAGGGAGCTGGGCAGGGAGCACTCAGGGAATAATAATCCCTTGCCCGCCATCCCAAAAAGTGACATCACTGCCAGCCTCGCGAGGGCCCTCAGGTGGAAGAGGCTGGCAAACTGGCGTACATACCCAGTTGCAGGGTGGCCGGGCCCCCTGGTTGTGACCCCTGCGACCGCAGTGTGTACGCCAGTGGCTACAGGCGATCGCAAGTGTTATGTACAAGTAGCCACTTAGTAACTACCGTTATACTTAGACTCAGTTCCCCTGGAAGAGCGAAACGTACGTCGGGGCAGTTTAGATCAGTGGGTGGCATTTTTGGATAAGGGATGATACTGCAGCTTGAATATACTTTATGTCTCTAAGATCAGTCACCACACTTTACATAGTTACATAGTTACATAGTTACATAGCTGAAAAGAGACTTGCGTCCATCAAGTTCAGCCTTCCTCACATTTGTTTTTTGCTGTTGATCCAAAAGAAGGCAAAAAAACCCAGTTTGAAGCACAATATTGCAACAAGCTAGGAAAAAAATTCCTTCTTGACCCCAGAATGGCAGTCAGATTTATCCTTGGATCAAGCAGTTATTACCCTACATTGAAAGATTATATCCTTGAATATTCTGTTCTTGCAAGTATGCATCTAGTAGCCGTTTGAACATCTGTATGGACTCTGATAAAACCACTTCTTCAGGCAGAGAATTCCACATCCTGATTGTTCTTACAGTAAAAAAACCTTTCCTTTGCCTTAGACGAAATCTTCTTTCTTCCAGTCTAAACGCATGGCCTCGTGTCCTATGTAAAGTCCGGTTTGTGAATAGATTTCCACACAATGGTTTGTATTGGCCCCGAATATATTTGTATAATGTTATCATATCCCCTCTCAGGCGACGTTTTTCTAAACTAAATAGGTTTAAATTTGTTAACCTTTCTTCATAGCCGATATGTTCCATTCCTTTTATTAGTTTTGTAGCCCGCCTCTGCACTTTTTCTAGTGCCATAATATCCTTCTTTAGAACAGGTGCCCAAAATTGCACAGCATATTCAATATGGGGTCTTACCAGTGATTTATTTATTTATTTATTTATTTCCATATTTCTTTTTTATTGGTTTTAGTAGTACTCCAGTGCATGGTACCGTGATATAATAATACATTTACAGTATTGGTACAAATACAGTGATAGAATAATACAGTAGTTAAACGATACTATAATAATATTACAATGATAATGATATTAATACAATGCCAACATTAATATTAATACAATACTAACAGTAATATTAATTCAATACAATACAATACACTATCGCTGACGTAGCAGCTCATCGATCAAATGTGGCCTCATTGGCTTATACACATAAGTTCATATAATATGATAATACATGTAGTGATGCTAGTAACGACAACAACGTATAAGCATCATCGATGTTATGTTATAACCAGGGCCGGCGCTTCCTATAAGGCGAACTAGGCAGCCGCCTAGGGCGCCATATAGGAGGGAGCGCCATGCGCCCCCTTCGCCGGCCCTTTAAATTCTGCAGCTGCCTGAGCGCTCTATAGAGAGCGCTCAGACAGCTGCCGCACTGCCTCACCTCCCCTGCCCTGTAGCGTGGCCGAGCTCCTTTCCGGTCCGCGACCCGGCAGGACTACAGGAAGTGCACACTGTGTGTGCACTTCCTGTCAGTCCCGCCGGGTCGCAGACTGGAAAGGAGCTCGGCCACGCTACAGGGCAGGGGAGGTGAGGAGAAGCTGATGGGAGGGGGGGGGCAGATGATTTGATGGGGGAGATGATTTG